AACACGTTGCTTGCATTGATCAATATTTTCATACTCTCTATTATATACTCTTATTCTCTCCACTACGCACCCCAACCTTTTTAAGAACACTCGCAATTTGATCTGAGAATGTTCTTCGTGGCCGTCTACTTCCAATAATGCCTTCCACGTTAAGTAGTTCTGTATATTTCTTTCGTTAATCTACATTCATTCATGACGGAAGAATAAAAAGTAATTACTTTTTATTCTTCTTCTTTTTATTATTTTAAATCAATATCCAACCACTCAACAAACCTGTATTAGTAGGAAATTAAACAAATTTAAAAAATGACAGTCGACAAATTTTTACTTTCAAATTAGACGTGAAATAAAGAAAAATAACCGACCAAATTTTAGAAAAACAACATTGCATTATTTTGAAGTTTTTACAGTCAGCTAATTGTGCCAATGACCGTGTGTAATTGTAATCTCTTACCTAAATACTTAATTTAAATAAGAACCTACTTCAGAAAACAAGTGTATATTAAACTGTTGAAAGTAATTTGTTACATATTTTTTGTCGCAGTTTTTGCAGTTTTTAGTCGCCAACAGTTATAATTTAACGATTCATGCCCGAAAATAACACTTTTACAATCCATTCTCTTTGAATTGAATTTATTTATTGATTCTGTTAGCTACATGCTAGAAATTTCTATTCATTTTCAGAGTTCTTAGGTTTTTGCAATTGTTACACTTTGGATATGAAACTATTTTTAACTCATTGACTTCAAAAAAGGAGGAAGTTCTCAATTTGATTGTTTGTTTTCTGAATACACTACACGATTACTCCGTCATTTGTGAACCAATTTCAATGATTCTTTTTTTTTTGTTGGACCTATTCCCCTGTCTGTGTCCCATTCAAATTTGAAGAAAATATTGTACCCCTACGGGTGGCAAACTAGGGTACGAATAAGGTTTATTGAATTTTAATTCCCTTTCCGTTAACCGATTTCAATATTACTTGACGCAAAATCGTAATTCCAATGAAAATACAATGTCACGTTTACCTGGAGCTGATGATAGAAACAGTGCACAGCAGCTACCCGAGTTAAGGCTCTTATGATTAGTTTTGAGGAGGACCTCCTCCTCAAAACTAACGTTTAACTGCCTCCGTGGCCGAACGGTTACCATGCCGGACTGCCACGCAGAGGTCCCAGGTTCGATTCCCGGGCCGGGAGAAATGTTTGTATGGCTTACATTTATTTCTCTCGTGAGTTTGGGTGTAATTTGTGGTTGTCTATGTGTGTGTCCATGGCACCCGCGACACAGGGTTTCCCTAGTGTGGGGCTATGTTGAGTGTGTGCGTTATTTATTTATTATTTATTTATTATATTTATTCCTTATGCAATTCAAATTGAGGGGACCGCCGTTACGAACACAGCGACTGATGGTCAACTTTTTTAGATTGGGTATTTATTTTGTAGAAAAGAATCTGGATCGCATATATACGACTGCAATACTTCTTGTTAATATCGCACTGCTATTGCAATAGTGTTGTAACTTAAAATATATGAAATTCGAAATTATACTATTGTTGTGCGTACAATTTGATTCTCTACACGTCAATACAACCGTCTTTAGAATATTGTGAGAAACAATGCAAAGACATCTACTTAAATCAAAATGAAAGAAACTTTCTGAGTTAGTTCTGTAAAAAAACAGTTCTTGCTCAAAAATATGAAATTATATTTTCCCTTTTATTTTTAAATATATTTGGTAAGTAGGACATCGTTTAGATGTCTGTTATTAAGTTAAACCTATATTTTTAAAGTTGAATATAAATTTTAATAATCTTTCACGGGAAGTGAGTAATTCGTTTCTGATCGATTCTGAAAAAAATACACATTTTGAGTTAATACACTATTGTATTAACAGTGCGACATGTTCTAATTTATTTCATATTTCCTTTTAATTAACAAATTTAATTTAGTGAAAATTCATACAACAGAAATAAAATATTATTTTAAACGTATTTAGCGAAAAATTGAATGTTCTTTGGTAAATTAAAAATAATTTCTTTTGTTTCATTGAAATGAAAATGCTATTTGGCTATTGAAAATTTTAACAGTGACGTCACAGTTCTACAACATACCAAAATATTGAATCTGTAGCGATACCAATACGTAGACTTCTTCTTTACTACTCGATGACTATACAAAGGCAAACTTCAAAGTTCGTGCTACAGACCACATAAATGTTCGTGCTATGAAATTTTAGTACCAAATACGCTAAACGGGACGCTATTCCAATTGTCATACAAATTGTCTCGATGACGATACAATAACGTTACTACTCGATTTTAGGTGACAGTTGGTACTTGGACCGCAAAATTTCACAGGATAAGTAAACGCTCACTATACTCACAAACACAGCAAAATTCCGCCAGGTTATATAACAAAATTAATAGATTTTTGTTCGTTTATCCTTTGATGAAACATGAGGTCAAATTAGTTCTCAGTAAATGGTTGCAAACGCTTGACTATACAGATACTGAAAATCTTTTATTATTAAATTTAGCGTATAGATTGGCATTCGTATAATTTTAACAATTTTTTTTTAAGAATTATTATTCTTTTTATTATTTATGTTATTATATATATATATATATAATTTTTAATTTTATTATTGTAGTAGTTTTTATAATTACACACTATAGCATTTGTCTAATTTATACTGTTGATGTTTACATCTTGGTTGTACTGTATTTACCTAGTGATATCCAGCAAGTGGAAGAACACCCGAAATACAAGCTTTTGCTTAGTTTGGGATTCGGTAGTTTAAACATTTTAAATAAGTAGCACGTACATACAATCAGTGAAATAAGTTTTTTTTTATGTAACGTACCTACCCATTGTTTTTAATTTTACTGTATGTGTATATGAATAAAATAAACAATATTATTATTATAATGATCGCTAGCATACATGCGCAGCGTCTGCGGGCAGTTTTATAGACGTCAATGTTTATTGACGTCAGTATCATTAATTTTGTTACATTCTATCATCTGCCATAGTGCATCAAATGCTCGATACTCGTACGAATGTGTTAATAACTTTTGTAACTACAAAAATAGGATGGGTGTATTAATATTATACTTCAGGTTTTATGACGTCACATCTCAGTGAGCGTGACCGTGAGACCTGCAAAGGGCTCGAAATGTTGGTTAGTTTAAAAAAACAAATATACGCGATTTAAATATGAAAATTAGTTTCACGTCTGATCTACTAAGGTAAAAAGAAGCTAAAATCTACTACTAAAACTAGTACGCTACCACAAAAAAAGTCAAGTTTGCATTTAACATTGTAAACCAAGCCGAAATATTTAGTAATGCAATTTAGCTAAACGAATGTTTGTTTATGTTTTTGCTACGCATTGCCATTTGTAACACTTAATTTATAATTATGGAACAAAATAAATATTCACGTTACACTAACTCAATATAGAAACATTTAGGAAGTATTATATTTAGGAAGTTTTTATTTATTTCCTTCTTGAAAAAAGATCTAGCAACGTAAATGTCTAGAGGTTCACCTGTTGCAGTCTTCACTTGGTTACTCTTTGTTGACTCATTCGATTTGCTCCAAGTTTTTATGCCGTCTTTATATTTTAGGCACTTTCTTATACAAGTTACCGGATGAGATATAACAAAAAATGGTAATAAAATGTCAGTTTTATTTCAATATCTTTACAAATTTATAAAGCCATAAATTAAAAACATTAATTAAGGCGATGAAAGATGGCGCTACAGCAAAAAAGTCGTTATAACCCAAAAAAAACAAAGGTCTCCAATAAGCACAGAAAAATTCGTAGTCTGATGATTCCTGCCGTGGCTTAGTTGGCAACGCGCAGACGTACGGGGAGAAGGCGAAGTTCGCTGCTCGCCTGATCCCCTAGTGAGGGCAACGGGCTCTGGACAGGGACTCCGGAGTCTGCATTGCACGACCTCACTCGTCTGGGGGGCGAGTTGGAGGACAACTGACCTGCCACTCCGTTGGTGCGGGAGCCCTGGCGCAAACTAGGGCGGCCGGGCGGCGTAGTGGTGCACCGATTCCACGACGATTCAACCGGCGGGAGGGAAACCCGGGGGGGTTTTATTGGGGTAGGCCCTCCAGACTGGAGAGAGAGTCTCCACATAACCCCTGAGTCTTCCTGGGCTCAGGGGTATCTATAAAGATCCCCCCCCCCCCCCCCGTAAAAAAAGGTAAAGAGCGCAGTGACAGTGCCCTTTGAGCGGCGCTTTTGACGCTTAAAAAAATTAAATCTGAGATCTGACAGAATGGCTTGAACGCCTTAGCCTATCCGGGGCGACGAAACTTTTACTACCACTGAAAAACACAAAAAAAAAATGGCCCGTTTTTTTGTTACAGTTTTTACAATATTTATTTTATAGTTCTGTAGATGAGAGGTAAGAGACCTTAAGTCCATATTTTGGAATTTAGATGTGTTTACAAACATTTCTTTATAATGCTAAAAATCACGCAATGGTAAAATAAATTAACGTGGTTTGGTTTTTTAACATATTTTATTTGATCTTATTAAATGCCTAAAAAATTAAGTGTCTTTATCTCTCACCTACAGTTAAAATACATACCTATTTACGTTGAATTTCTTAATTATTTTTTACCTTTTAACGTAAAAACTCTATATAATAATAACATAATAATAATGATAACAATGGTGTGGTGCAATGGACACACTCATAATACAACCACAAATTACTCCCAAACTCACGAGAGAAATAAATGTAGGTAGGCCATTGACCTTAGGCCATACAAATATTTCTGCCGGTTCGGGAATCGAACCCGAGACCTCTTGCGTGGCAGTCCAGCATGATAACCGTTCAGCCACGGAGGTTGTTAAAAGCTCCATAAATAAACAATAATAAATTGAAAAAATACATGGAAAAGCAAATCACCTACCTAAAAAGAAGAAGAAGAAACAATGAGATTCCTGTCGACATTATATCTGTTTTATCATTTCAGCTCTAGAGCTCGTCGGTCCCAAAGGCAGAGTGTTCACCAGCCTCCTTTTCAACACCATGTTCATCCTTGGCGGAGAAATGGTAACATTACTGTCCTGGTGGCTTCAGAACTGGCGATACCTGGTGTTCATTATCTATACACCTGCAGTCTTCGTTTTCGTCTACATGTGGACACTTACGGAGAGTTTCAGATGGTACTTTAGCAAAGGAAGATACGAGGAAGGTCTAAACGTACTTAGCAAAGCTGAAAAGATGAACAATGTTACAGTACCGAAAGATCATTATGATCAGGTAGAGAAACAAGCGATGAAACAAAGGGATACAAGAAAATGCGAGAGCAAAGAAAACAATCAATCTTCGTTTCAACAGCTGTTTACATCCACTGTAATATGGAAAAGATTGGCGGTCTGTTCTCTTCTATGGATCTCGTCGACACTGGTCTATTACGGCCTTTCCATAAATGCCATAGATCTATCTGGCAATGGATACTTGAACTACGCTGTGGTGATTCTTATTGAAGCCCCAGCGAATATATGTAAATTATTGTTGTTGGATAGGTTTGGCAGGAAAAGAGTGATTTCTTTATCGTTCTTTTCTACTGCTGTTATCTTGATTGCATATGGTTTCATTTCAGGTAAGAATAACCTTTAAACTTAAAATTTCTTATTTATCTAAGTAGCAAAATGCATACTGGCGATTTTACGTGCAAGTAATTTACGCGAGAGTAATTACAAACTTACTTATCTTCTTTGCACTTGAAGATATTTCATAAGATTCAATTTAATTATGTCTATATTTTATTGATATATTTACTGGTAATTATAGAACTATATACTAGTATCATATGTAAGAAAAACCGATGAAAAAATGTACATCTACTTTTAAAACACCCTATCTAATAACATAAGGGCATAAAAACCGATTCTTGTGCTAAAACTTTTTATCCTAATGTTACTGTTTCGGGGATGCACAACCTTTGGTTGCGATTTTCGTTTATATGGTTTTTGATGCCCTATACATGACGTAACAGTAGACGATAAATGAACAAAAACTATATAAATAAAAATCAAATATAAAGTATAAATAACAAAGAACTTAAAATAAACAAAATTGTCATCAGACCTAGAAAGAGCCAAAGCAATAAGAGTAAAATATAACAAATGTTCCAATACTAGAAACTACAAGAAAATGTAACATTGTTGTTTTTTTACAAGTCCAAAAGTGAGTAGGAGACGCAATTCTTTATTAAAACCTTTCAAACAACAAAAAACACTTGGCGTCATTTTTTTATTGCTAATAACAATAATTTCCAGTACTATGAGTACCAGATCAATGGAATCCACTCCAGGGCTTTACCCGGTAAACCCAGACCAGAACCAATTTAGAAAAGTTCACTTCCCAAATTGGTCCTAACGGGGAATCGAACCAGGGAACTCCGCATCCAGCGCCCACAATGCAAACCGCTAGGCCACCGAGGAGTGAAAAAGAAAAAAATCAAAATTAAGCACTAAAGAAACATTACAATAAATTTTTTTTGTTTAGGTATGAGGTACCAGATAATACTATTAACACAAAAACTTGTTTATTCAAGTTAAGCAAATGATAAGTCAATAATCAACACACAAACAGTGATCAATATTGTCTTGTTTACTATCACCCGACTAACAAGAACCATTCGCAAACCGTCATAATACTCAATAATGGTATTTTGTTAAAGTTTTATATCTGTGAAGGGTCAAAAAAAGTCCACACGGACAAAATAATGCGATAATGAAGACCTATGTGGAAGTCGGAAGCTTTTACTGATTCTACAATTTAAAACACTCCACAATTTTGTATGGTATATTGCACAGTGCCCTTAGCGGACACGAGAATAAGTAACATTGTCAATAAAAATGTTTAATAAGCTATCGACACAATAAACTCGTGGTACGAGGCGCTGTGCGCCGTGCCTATAATTGCAGCACCCATCTCTTATTTTATTGTACGGTATTTATTTTGTTTCCATTTCTTCAAAATGTAGTCTTCTGTATCTTAGAACGACATATTTTATTTACCCTTGACTATCTATACCTACTGTCGTGTATAATTATGGCCCAAAGACGTCTCCCTAATAGACACCAGACTGAACTAATGATTCGGGATGATGATTGTTGAACGTAGATTGTGAAAACATTGGAAAAAATCACTATTTATTATCCAAAACAATTATTTATATTAAATGTTATAAAAATGTACACTTTATTCGTAAGTAAAGGCATTCCGAAGCGCGAGTCGCCAACCACTTACATCAAATAAATTCGATTACATCGGAACAATCGATTTATATCGTACAACCACGGAAAGTACGCAGGCGTCCTTGTAATAGCGAGTTTCTAGTTTTACCAGTACTATAATTTCAATCAATCGATGGAAACAAACGTGGAAAAATGATGAACCGCCATAATAGCCGCGCTTTTAGGAGTTGACGAACCCAATTAAATGCAATCTAATGATCAAACGAATGCACAAACAGAAATACTACCCTCCTTGTCATAACTAACGTGTTTGCAGAGATATTGACACCCAAATTTTCTTTTGCTTATAATTACGCTGCTTTTGCTTAACAATAAAACTGAAACTAACTGGTTAGAGGCGGTTGTAGATCTCATTTTGCTGACCCCAGATATTTTTATGCTAAATAAGAGAGTTGTAAAATTTATATATACATAATTTGTTACATGTAGTTTGTATAATTTTTTTGATTTTCATATGTCATTTTATACCACTCTAGTCTGCCACCATCGAGTATATAACCAGAAATAGATACTAAATAAGGGCCACCCATCCCTGGTAACTCATCAGACAAAATGGGCCTTGTATCACTTTTAAATATCAACTCTCGTTTGCGCTGAAATCTCTAACAATGGGGGCTGTTCCATTCGGTCGTGTGGGAAAAACAGCAAAACATCTAATTACAAAACTAAATCGCATTTCGACAGTAATTAAATATTAAATATACAATTTTGCAATTTTCGTTCATTACAGCAAAGCTCAAGTTAAACTGGTCATTTTGAAGCGAAACATTTGACGACACCCGTCAATTGTTTGAATTCGGGCTGACCAATCGGAGCGCAGTTGTCACAGTAATGATTTAGCAGAAGAGTTTTCAAACAAATTAAATAACACTTCGTTTCTACTTGTATACTCGATGTCTGCCACGAAGAGGTCCCGGGTTCGATTTCTGAGAGGGTTTCGATTATTTGTTTGGCCTACATTTATTTCTCTCATGAGTTTGAGTGTGATGTTTACGATACAGATATTTCCTAGTGCGGGATTAGTCCCGCTAATAGTGTACGCTTTATTATTATTATTATATTACTTTTGACGTATAATACATTGGCTTTATTTTGTTAATTTTGTAAGGCAAATGTTTGCTACATTATTGAATCTTCATCAATACCTTCAATTACTTTTCCTTTGTTTCAGCGGGCAGTTGGTCCATAGCAGTGTACCTGGCAGGAAAATTCTTCATAACGTTGGCGTACAATTCGTTATACGTTTTCGCTGCAGAAGTGTTCCCCACGAACTATAGAACTACACTGTTAGCCATGTGTTCTACCATTGGGAGAACTGGGTCTACTATAGCGCCGCTTACACCTTTATTGGTAGGATTATTTTTTCATGTTATACCATTTTGAGTTTCACATCAGTGTACATTATATCTTTCAGATTAGACTACAGTCCATCACTTTTTTCATAAATGTACTGTATGACGTTAGTGTAAGAATGTTAATCTCTTTAAACTTGTCTCTCAAAGACATTCTGGGGTCAGATTGGAAAATGCTTAAACGGGAGAGTTATATAATTTCACATAATATATGTACATAATTTGTTTCATGTACGAGTAATTATGAATACACATACGCAAACGTGCCAAACGCAATGCCAACCAACCAGCAGACCTCACGAATTTTTCTATGTGCTTGTTGTCGGAATTTTGCATTTAATTTTCAACGACTTTTAGCCGTACCGCCATCTATAAGAAATCTATGAAAGTATTTCGTCACGCAGTCGGGTTACTTTACAGCTACCAACTTTAGCTAGAGATATCGCTATTAACTTTAATAAAATATTAAATTTGTATTGAATTCATGTAATTTATTCATGTTTCAAGTACTTCGTATTTTTTCTATTGACGTATCATCACATGTGCTTTATTAGACAATGGATACGATATGTAAACCACCATCCATTTATTTATAGTTCGTTTTTCTATTCCAGACAAAACTGTACGAGCATCTACCAACAATACTGTTTGGCAGTTCAGCTGCAGTGTCAGGGTTCCTCGTGCTGACTCTACCAGAAACAAACAACCTTAAACTACCAGACTCCTTAAAGGAGGCGACAGAACAGGATAAAAAATTTGATGAAAGTGATAGATGAAAACAGAAAGTGATAAAATGGTACAGTCCATCCATTTAGTAACAACGTTAGGGATAGGGTATGTTGAGTTTGTGCGTTACTATCATTATATTGTTATTATTAAATGAACGGCCAAGTGACACGTATACAATTTGACGACCTGCGTTTGCAATGTTGGTGGTGGTTGAGAAGGTCCTTGGTTAGTTTCCCGGTAGTGGCCTAATATAAAATAGTTCCTTTTTTGACCTATTCAGGGTACCAAGCTTTTTATTGGTTAAAATAATTACACGGCAACATTGGTATTCTCTACAATTTGTCAATTTGACCCCGCAGACACGAATCAGATTTTATAAAGCCATGTTCCTGATCAACTAGATGTTTTTATAGGCCAACCATCGAGGTATGATTATCTGGCATATTATTTCTCGGTGTCTTTTTTGAAAAAATATAGGTATAGGCTAGCAAAATTGTCTAAAAATATGTTCTCTGACAAGATGCGGAGTTTTTAAAAACGAATTTCTCGTACCGATAAAACGATTAATCCCAAGTCAATACTACCCCACCATTTTACGGCATTATGGATGTCAAGGGACCAATTCTCGTACGAAAATGTCGCATTTTCTCGATTTCGAAATAATGTCGCATCGTCAATATATACGGAAAATATCACTAAAATCTCTAACGCCCAAAACGTTCACATTCACAGTATTAATAAAGATGATGATATCTCGGTTGGTAGACATTTCGTTTCTATCCATTGTATTCAAAATATAATCGATCAACAATTTTTTTCACTTACCTAAATCAAGAATTCTGAAGTCTGTTCCGATTGAAATGAGTGAATGTAACAAGCACATTCTTATTATTTCCGTTTCAAAATAATGCATTGTCAAAAAATCTAAATTATGTCAACATATTGTCAGTGATCTTTGCCTTCAACCACTCGACTTAACCCGTCCACGGGCAGAAACAGCGTTTACCGTAAAATTAAATTTTAGATTATGATAATACGGGGCACCGTTTCACTATATGGATTTCAAAAACCAACTATAGGCTTTATTTAAGGACGCGCTCAAAGACGTGAAAAAACCATTGCCCGCCGTATGCCGTACGGAGCCGAATACTTTTATACGAGCGTTTGTACCGACGTCGGTACAAAACTTACTGCGTAACCCTAAGCGAGTGATGGAGCCCTGGTCACGGCAAGGAAGATACTGACCTCCACTATCCATGAAAGGGTTAAGTCTATTGTGAATTTCGAAACCTTCCAGAAACTATTTGCGATCTCTCATTTTTTTTATCAAGAAACTTCATAAAATGATGTTATACATTTATTCTTATATTTCTTATTGCATCATCCGTTATGTATACCGAAGAATCTTAACTGTTAATGTTTAGTTATTTCTAAATGGATGGACATTAGTGTCTATGCTAAAATAATGTCGTCTGTCTAATGCGAAAACACCAATAATAATAATGTTAATTCATTCAAATCATATGTGTACACAAAGAAACATGACATTAGGTATAATCATTAATAATAAAAACTTTAATTAATTAATTAGGTGTAGATTAAAAAGTTTTAGGCAAAAGTATAAGCCTGGTTTGTAATTCTAAATTTAGAGGAGTGATTATGTAAATTCTATATTTCTATTTTAGAGAAGATACTCTTGTAGATTCGCCTTAGCGAAATGAGAATGCAGAAAGTTCAGTCCACAAGATTTATTATAAGAGATAATAAAAGAAGGTAAGAAAGCCCGAAAGGGCCTATCTAACTATACAAAATTATATAGTAGGTAATCGATAAGAAGTTTAAGAAAATGAAGGTGAAATGTGATTTATGGGCATGTCCTAACGTTTCATGAATTTTGATAATAGTGACGACAGATAGAACAAATATAGAAATAGTGAAATGAACGTGGAGAAGGATTCAAATTTCAAAAATAAGTGATCAAAAGGTGGAATAACGATGAAGGAGGTCATCATGTCACAATACCCGTGGAAGAAAGGAAACCCAAAAGGACTACCTTCTGGGCTTTCTTTACCTCTTTCATCACCTCTTACAAGAAATCAAATCTTATTAAAAAAAAATTAATATATATATAAAAACAAAAAGCCCGTGGACCAAGCCTTCTGCATTCTCATTTCGCTAAAGCTAGGATACACTGTAATGCTGTCTCGCGGTTTTGCCTAACCTAAATACCGACAAAATCGGGTAAAAAGGAGAAACAGCCTTAGTGTTTGAAAAATCACTCCTCATTTAGTGCAACACTGCCGTCTAGTGTTTAGGTTTAGCTACAAAGTAACTGCTTAAAGTATTTGTAATTTTTTTTGTAGTGGAATTACAAACTACTTATTATTTTTGCAATTATAGTTTTGTGCTATGGCTGTCCGTGTGTTAACACGTATTTGTTATAGTAACACTTCTCTGGGTACAATTTCAAGTAGACATTTTAAATTTATATAACATAATGAACTAAGTATAGATTGACTTATGTTATTTTATACTTGAAGCTGTTCACAATATGTCACCTAACATTAACTTAAGAGTCGATACTGCCTCAGGTCGAATAAAAAAACTTCCCGTACTAAATCGGTTCTGAGTAATTTTCAGGTAAGTTTTTTGTACTCAATTTTGGTGACAATTTTTTACAAACGACATTAAAGCCATTTGAAAAATGTATATCGTATACATGTGTTCTACTTAGTTCAGTTGTTATTGAAAAAGAATATTGGTATAGGCTTAGAATAATAACGCATAGAATGATAGTTTCATATCAAACGAACTGTCACAAGTGAGGCAAAAATCAAATTCATGTATGGTAGTTTTAGTAGTAGGTTAATTGTCGGTTTTAGTGAATATTTATATAAAAATACAAGTTGAAACGCGTTACTTCCTTGTGGAATGTGATGTTAGTATCCATTTTATGTTTGTCTGACGTATTTTTACACTCATTTACCATTTCGTCATTTTTAGCTAAAATTCTTGAGCTGTTCGCGGTGCAAGTTGACCTTGAGCACTGACGGCCCGCCCGCTCGTGTAGGCTCTTTGGGAGCGCTTTAATTTGCCTCACTTAACGTGTGCGGACTAGGTTTCTATGCGTTATTATTCTAAGGGTATAGGTATGTAAAGCACCTATTCATTACAGCGGTTTTCTGGTAAAATTTCAAGGTAAGTTTGTGTTTTTTTTTATCGTGAAAATTTTTATGAATCGTGTTTTCTTCATCAGTGTATATCTTCAATTTTATGCGGAATCAACCAAAGCCATTTGAGGTTGTATCCACTATTAAGTTTTATAAAAGTGACAAATGGAATCTCGAAGGCTTGTGATGTTTAAGTTAAGTATTAATAAGGGAAATTTGAACGTAGGTAGCACTCGTATCTATGTATTAAAAAGTACCTGAATGTTTCGTAACGCATACAATTAAATTGAATTCTCGATCGTATTTAGTTTTTTTATTATTATTATTTGTCCTCACACTTCTTATACAGCATATTATAATGTATAAGATATACTTATCACTTTAATAGGCCATCGGAAAGGTGAGAGTGTAAAATAAATGTACGAAATAATAATATTTTTATGTGTGAGCGAAAATATCATAATGGAACCTGTATGTCGAAGAAATTCACAACACTTCGAAAACTGGAATGTCCCCTAACCCGCACTGCGCCAGTAGCGTGGTGGACTAAGAATGGCTTAAACCATAGTTTCCCAAAGTGGTACCTAACGCCCCCCCAGGCGGGCGCTGAAGAGTCCTAGGGCAGTAATTGCGTGGAAAGCAATTGAGGGTGTTGATTCTGTCAGGGGGTGCCACCGCATTAGAAAAAAAACCTTATAATCTATATAAACTACATTACATATGCATATTTTTTCCTTGTCATTTTTTTGCATTAAGTTAACATAAAAAATACGTATTTTCAATTATTTTTGTTATGGTAGGCGTTGAAAGTTCTTATCTTGCCTATGTGAGTGAGCCAAAAAAATTTCTTAACCTGTAGTCTCAACCTTCACCTTGGAGGAGATCATAATAAAAATCGATGATGTTGTTTATTACCATACGTGAGATCAACGAGATTTATTGCTTAATAACCTATAATTCGAACCCACGTGCTATTTATACGATAAAAATACTTTTATCAAATAAAAATAATATTGACTACATGAATCAAATTATGTATTACGTAAAATATTATATATAACTCTCTTATAAATGTCTCTAAAAAAGTACAATAATATATAATATTGCATCGAAGCTTAAAATATTCAACTAGACTATAAAAAAAAACTAAGGAGACAAAATGATTCCACAAAAGCAGATATAAAACTAAATTAGATCACGCGCGACTTTAATTTTAAAATGGGGTTGAAGTGACGTATTTAAAAAAAAACATTTTAACCCCCTTTATAGCGTTTCACCCTCCTTCGCCTAACAACCGAGTTGGCAATTGTAATTATGCGTTTAGGACGTGATCCCATTTCTACGAACGTGCTCGGCCGGTTTGCGATGTTATTAAAAAGTAAAAAAACCTGTATCGTAGGGATAGATTTTAAAAATTCGTGATGCGATTTTTGGTCTTGCATTAAGTGCTGGGTAATTTAAAAATAAGAAACCTCTTTCATGTTATAAACAGCACAATTTTTTATCTAGCTTTTGAGTAAGGTTCAATTTACTTCACGGCGGAACGGAATGGAAGTGAAGCTTTGTAACGAAATTGTACATAATACAAATAACTTTATGTCAATTATGTAACGGTAGCTGCCAGAATTCACGAGACTGCGAGAAAAAGAATATTGCTGAAGAAGCGCGACCATTTTTTGGCTCGTAGGTATCTAGTTTGTAAGTTACACAATTTTGTTATGAAAATTCCATTCCATTCCGTTCCGCAGTAATGTATATTGAGCCTAAACAAAACCAAACGTTGATTCATAAATACAACTGGAACAGCCAGCGGGTTGTATAAGCAGTTGGTAACCACAGTTGCTACTGCGATCCAATACTACTGTACAGTACCTAATTTATTCAAATTTACTTTCTTCTTTACTGATGGAAGGTCTGTGGTTCTAATATACGCAAAAATCTTTTTGTGCTCTGCGTGTCCAATTTAATAATGCATTCAGGGCGCTGTTGCAGCTCCCTCGTGGTTGGCTTTGGGGCCGTCTGGAGAAAGAACATTGTCTCTCTGTTGAACAGCAGGAGCTGTAACGGCATCCTGAAAGCGACAGCCCAGATTGACAGAGAGACCAGATTGCCCGCTGTTGTACTAGCATATACTAGTTACTCCACTCCACTCCACCTACTTCCGGTCGTTGAACCAAAGACCGGCTTCCGATATGTGTGTGATGAGTGGCGACAGCGCGCCCTGTCTTGTGCGATCTTCTCACAGTTCTATGCGTGCAGGACGTGGAGGTCTGTCTTCATTTCGTCTCTCTATCGTTATTTGGGCCGACCAACCAATCATTGACCACTAGGACGTCCAATGTACGTCCTTTTTCATCTCCCTATGACCTGACATTAAAACTAACATTAAAATAGACCTTTTAAAATACTGTGTGAAATAAATAAATTAATAAATAAAAATAATAAATAAATAATTTATTTTAACTTATACTTGATCCTTAGCTTATCCTCGTTTCCATAATTATCCCGCTCCCAAGTTTTGGAAATGTTTCAGAACTCGGCACATATACTATAATAATAACAAATGAGTACAAACCAAGTAATTTAGGCATTATCTATCAACGTACCTACTCGTGAAAGTGCTCCGCACCTAGAGTTGAGACATAGAAATTTTTTGAAAAATCATATTTATCAGAAAAATTTTTATCTTTCCTTTATTTTTCCACATTTGATATTGGCACCTGTCAAAAGTTGAAGATACTGAACTATATTATGAAAATTGGTGAAAATTAGCCAAGCAGGGTTTAAAAAATTACATTTAGCTAATGTTAATGTTTACACAATTTTGTTTTATAATTCATGCTAAATAAACATTAAAAGATATATCTAAATGTAGTCCATAATATGAGTCTTAGAATTATTATGTATTATTCCCGTCTTTCATTAAAAATGTTCCACTATTTGAAATTTTTCGGAAAACTACACAACGATATACATATAGGTCACATCCAAACCTCAAGTAAGTTTTTTGTAAGAAAATCTGAAAAAATCTCATAAGTCTCAAAAGTTACGAAAATTGGATTAAAAACAAAAAACACATTACACGAGTGGATCAAATGTTACGGAAAATGTAAGAGATGTATAACCATCTGGCTACACTGATTACAGCACGGGTCGTATTCCAGAACTCTACTCAATGCTCAAATCAGGACTTGAGTATGATTTAAAGCACTAGAAATATTCAAGTCCTTGCCATTAGGGTCGTATGTCCAGTTCTTGAAATCATACTCAAGTCCTGATTTGAGCATTGAATAGGGTTCTGGCATACAACCCTTAGTATGGATAATTGGCATCCAATTCATTTCAAACAAATTTATGAAAT